AAAAAAAAAAAAAAAAAAAAAAAATCTTATTTAAATTATTTTATTATTCCAATTTTTTATTAAACAATAAACTAAATTATATCATCCATATTCTAGGATTTGTTACTATTTGTGGAATTAAATTTAATTTTTTATTAATTTATTGCATAGTCTTATTTATTATGAATGAATACATGAATGCTTTATATTTTAAGAACTCCCATCAATCTTACAAAGTATAATTATTGATAATTCACAATATATATATATATATATATTTTTAAAAAGTGATTGTAAATTTATTACGCGTTAAAAAGTTCAACCCACGAGAAACTATTTGAAAGTTAGGATGGTTTTTAAAGTAATTACGATGAGGAAAAAAAATCCCTTGAAATCATGACGGAATTGACAAACTAAAAAATAAAGAATTTCATTCAAAATAAAATTCTAAATTGTTCTAAAAAAATATAAGAATAAAATAAAATTGAAAAATTATGAGATTAGTGATGATATAGACGAGTAATAATGGTAAGAAGTAGAATTAATGGGTCAACAAATCCATGATTAAGCACACCTTTTTTTTCCACCACAAGCACCACAGGACTTTGGATAAAGACCGAAAGAATACGTTTTTATAAATCGTTTCTAACGCGTCTTTACATTAAAAAAAAATAATAATAAATATAAAAAATTAAAATTAAAATTTTGTATTAATATTGGGTTTGGTATAATAATTAAAAATTTTAAAACATAAGAATTAAATTGATAGTAATAATTTTGTCTGTTTGAAAATAAATAAGAAGGTAAAAGCTTAATTAGCTGACTAGCCTTCAGGTCAATTAATAAAGATATTCTATATTTATTAATAAATCTATAACACGTATAAGACAAGTTGTAATTAATCTGTGATATATTTCATACAGAAACAATATAATAAATTCAATAAATAATAGCTTATTGGGCGTAGAAAATAATTAATTACATAAGACAAGCGAATATGATTTGATATTATAATTTAAAGTGTTTTTTTTAATCCAAAGATTTATCATAAAGAAGTATATAATTTAAATAGAAAAAAGGAAAAAGTGTGGATGGTATTTATTGTGAATAATTTATGGAAATAAAATAAAATAAAGAGAATAAATTCTAGTAGGGTAAAACAAGGAAGGGGGGTGGGCCCCGACAAGCATAGCCCAATGGTCAAAATTCCCCAATTTGACCCATCTTAGTCAAACCGCTTGTAATCAGTTCATTTATTTAATTCTAGTTATTTTCCGTTTTCCTAAATTATATTGACTTAATCAATATTATAGATATAATTAAAATTTTAGGGGGGGGGGCAAAGTTGTCATTTAATTATTTTTTTAAAAAAGGTTTTAGTTTGTATTTATCTCCTTAGAAGAAAAAATAGGCTATTTTTGTTTGTAGATTGAAGTCAATGCCTAAAAGTCAAACCTTTTCATTTATTTGGACAACTCCAACTCAACTTCAACCGCTTTTTATTACTCTCTTTGTTAAAATACCCTTCTTTCTTTTCTACATTTACCTTTTAGTCCTCTCTCTTAAAAATAATTAATAAAAGAAACAAAAAGAAAGTTCCCCCGATTAAATTAATAGTCCTTTCAGTCGGGAAATTACAGGAAAAGGAGAAGGGTTTTAGATAGATGGAAATGGGAGAGAACCCGGATAGGGGTAGTTTGGTAAAATGAATGGTATTTTAATCTTTAAATTATTGGAGTTTGGAAAATTGTCTAAAGGAAAAAAAGGAAAAGGGAAACCGGAAGGATTCATGTGAGGAGGGAGGAAAGGCCAAAAGGAGACGCTGGTTCCGGCTTTGGGAGCCTCAACAATCATTTCGGGGGGCTCTGGTTTTTGTTTTACGCCATGAAGATCTCCAACTTCTTCTTCACATGGCTGTCGCTGGATCGTCTTCTTTTTCTTCTTCTACTTTGTGCTTCTCCATCTTTTTGTGTAGTTCTAGAAGACGACATAAGGTGCCTTCGAGGGGTTAAGAATGCGCTCGTTGATCCACTCGGAAGGCTTAGTTCTTGGGATTTCAAGAACACATCTGTTGGCTATCTCTGTAACAAATTTGTGGGTCTCTCCTGCTGGAACGACCGTGAGAATCGCATTCTGAGCCTCGAGCTTAGAGATATGAAGCTTTCCGGTTCGATTTCTGAGGACTTGCAGTACTGTGTGAGTCTGCAGAAAATGGATCTGTCCGGGAATAGCTTTTCCGGTGCGATCCCGCCGCATATTTGTAAGTGGCTTCCGTATTTGGTTAGCATAGATTTGTCGAACAATCAATTTACCGGCCTTATTCCGGCTGATCTCGCCGGGTGTTCTTATCTCAATTCGTTGATTTTGTCTGATAATGGCCTTTCTGGTACAATACCAGTTGAGCTCACGAGTTTGGGTAGGCTTAACAAGTTTTCCGTTGCGAACAATCATCTCACTGGAACGATTCCCTCCTTTTTTGATAAATTTGGGAAGGAGGATTTTGATGGGAACAGTGACTTATGTGGAGGGCCTGTTGGATCGAGTTGTGGCGGGTTGAGCAAGAAGAATCTTGCGATCATTATAGCTGCTGGTGTGTTTGGTGCTGCGGCTTCTCTGTTGTTAGGTTTTGGGTTGTGGTGGTGGTATCAATCTAGAATGAACATGAAGAAGAGAAGGGGATATCGGGATGGAATTAGTGGGGATTGGGCTGATAGATTGAGAGCCTATAAGCTTGTTCAAGTTTCCTTGTTTCAGAAGCCTCTTGTGAAAGTTAAATTGGCTGATTTGATGGCTGCTACTAACAATTTCAATTCTGAAAATATTATAGTTTCTTCTAGAACTGGGACTACTTATAGAGCTGTTCTTCCAGATGGCTCTGTGCTTGCTATAAAGCGGCTCAATACCTGCAAGCTCGGTGAGAAGCTGTTTCGAATGGAGATGAACCGGTTAGGATTGATAAGGCACCCGAATTTGACACCCCTTTTGGGGTTCTGTGTTGTGGAAGAGGAAAAGCTTTTGGTTTATAAGTATATGTCTAATGGTACTTTGTCCTCTTTGTTACATGGAAATGGTGAGATATTGGATTGGCCAACTAGGTTTAGGATCGGTTTGGGTGCGGCCAGGGGTCTTGCTTGGCTTCATCATGGATGCCAACCTCCATTCATGCATCAAAACATATGTTCTAGTGTAATTCTTGTGGATGAAGACTATGATGCTAGGATCATGGATTTTGGATTAGCAAGGTTGATGTCTTCAGATTCTCACGACAGTAGTTTTGTAAATGGAGATTTAGGGGAGCTTGGTTACATCGCTCCCGAATATCCGAGCACCATGGTTGCTTCTCTGAAGGGGGATGTTTATGGATTTGGGGTTGTGCTTTTGGAGTTGGTCACTGGCCAAAATCCTCTAGAAGTCACTAAAGCAGAGGAAGGCTATAAGGGTAACTTGGTGGATTGGGTTAATCAGCTAAGTATTTCGGGTCGAATTAAGGATGTTATTGATAAAGATCTTTGTGGGAAAGGGAGCGATGAGGAAATCTTACAATTTATGAAAATTACAATGAACTGCGTTGTTTCTCACCCCAAGGATAGGTGGTCTATGTATCAAGTTTATCAGTCAATGAAAACCATGGCTAAAGACTACAGTTTCCCTGACCCAGATGTTGAATTCCCACTTTTATTCGGCAAGGGAGATTAACTCATGTAGTTCCAGAAAAATATCTATGGGTGGAAAACATTATATAGAGAACTCGGGATTTCTACATCTTCTGGTGAGTTCTCAATGGCCCTTGATGCTAATCGTGTTGATTCCCGTCATAAGAACTTGTTTCGACATTTGTTTCGAATGGCTGTATGTACAATAAACCCTAGTTAATCTGTAGGTTCTTGCATTCTGAAGTAATTTGTCTATTATCCTTGCTTTCAATGGTGCACTGCCTCTGTAGAGATTCCATGCTTTCGAGTAAAACATTTAAACTATAGCACGATGGCTTGTATGTATGCTTCATAAGCTTCATTATTGTTTCTTGCATTGAAATATGTAGGATAAACTTGTTAGGATGTGTATCATCTGTGTCAAGGATCCATTGAAACATCAAAACTTGAAGTCTTCATTCTTCTAAGAAGACCTACACAAATGCTGCCCTTTTTTTCTCTCACCCAGTGCTAATGTCTACTCGTTACGATATCGACAACTCTTGAACCGAACTGTGCTTTCATATTCAGTTGGTTCTGTATAAATATATAAAGATATCAATTTGTATATGAAGAAGTGAAGAATGTGTGCTTCTCATTCTGTCAATTGTGTTGATGAGTTTGGCATTTGACTTTGAAACTTAAAAAATTCTGAATCTGTTGTGTATGATGATTATTATTATTAATCTCTTGCACATTAAAGGGTTATTTTGAACCCTACGTGCACTCACAAATGTTCTTTCTTTCTTCCATTTTTGTTTAAAAAGCTGGTCAAAGTCAACGCCAGGCACTTCTGAATGTCTTTTTCAAGACACACTTTTGAATCCTGAAATTTCTTAGTTAAGAATTTATCTGAAATACATGTCGTCTTGTTGCTCTGTATTTATCTCTTTGTTAGGAGAATTTTGTGTGTTTGTTTCTAGAAATTGGATTTCTTTATTTATTTATTTTTAATTACTCTGTCAAGTAATCTTCTTTTTAATACTGTGTTTGAGAAATTGACCAGAGAGGCCATGGGTGTGTCTAAAGAAGGTGAGAGATGAAATGGCTGTTGTGAGGAAAAAAAGGGAAACCAGATGAAGCTCCAAAATTGAATATGTTTTGATTTACTTTAATTTAACATTTGTTTTGAGTATTACTTACTTTGACCAATTCTTCCTTTATTTGTTTCTTTCTCAAATATAAAAAAATTCTGTACTTTCTTCTGCTTGCTTATCAAAAAATTTATCGTAAAAATTATATTTTTTTTTTAATAGAAAAAGTATTTTCTTCCTCTTTGGTGGGATCTCATTCCTTTCTCTCTTTTTTTTTTTTTTTTTTAATTATTATTATAATAATTATTCTTCTTTCTCTATTTTCTTTAATCACTTAAAAGATCTCCATCTTTTCCATCCCATAAATACTACTTTGACCAGCTTCAACCAACAAAAAAATAAAGAATCCTAAATTAATTTGGCCAAAACATTAATATGACATGGCATAACACACAAAATGACAAAATGACAGAAGAAAGTAGACAACCGAACACAAAAAAGGGATAAATGCAAAATTATTCAACAACATATACATTAATTGTCCAGATTTAAACATATAATTTCTAGAATATATGCATAATATGTTAATAAATTAAATTATGACAAAAAAAAATAATAAAATAAAAACATGAAGATGGGGATGAAGTTGTCTTGTTGAACCAACGGTGACAGAATCCCGTCGCGGAGAGGAGCGCCCAGAACCTTTCTCGGGGGCTGCCCTTTGTTTTTTTCCCCTCTTTACCTTTTTCTTTTTCTTTTTTTCGAAAATTTGATTTGATTTGATTTGATTTTTTTTTTCTTTTTTTTCTTTTTGCATGCATGCATCGGATAGGCACGATCAATATTCACGAATCTGTCTGAATTTTACACTCTCCCAAGCTTTTGAATACAATTATCAAAGGTACAATCTTTACTCAGGCTTTTCCATGTGTTATCCATGTCATTAATTACCTTCCAAATTATTAAAATTTTAAACCATACGTTAAAGAGAATGAATATTAATTTATTTATCGAATTCGTAGCTAAGATTTAGTCAGAATTCCGAGATAATGGATGATCAATTTATCGATTACCAGAATCAATCATTTTCTACTTTTTTAAGAATGTGACAATGGGGAGAAAAAAAAAACAAAGAAAGATATCAATGGAAAATTCAAGTTATGCATGAACGACAAGGAACATTATAAAATCTTCAAATTCCGAGGAAAGAAAGAAACACTTTGCATCTGAGATCAAGTAAATGATGACTAGCAACAGCTGAGAATTTTCTGGGAAAGTTATTCAAAATCTCTTTCTTTTCTACTCCCAAGAACCCACTAAGAACAGTTGCCATGTCAGTGCTTTCAGGGACAAAAGTCTCAATGCAGGATCTATCCTTGATGGAGAGCAAAGATGAACATTTACAGGTAAAAGAAAAAAATAACTGTTCATTTCTGATCTTTTTCTGCAGCTGATCCATCTCCAGGATTTGTTTAGGCTCGAATTGGTGGCTGTTTAGAGTTCCCTACTCTCCTGAATTCACATTTTGAGCAATATAATTCATTAGCCTATGTAATAGAGAGAGAGAGAGAGAGAGAGAGAGAGAGAGAGAGAGAGAGAGATTATCATGTCTGCAATGGTATTGTAGCGAAAAGAAACAATATTATGTAATCCATCTATAATCTCAAAGCTTACGAACTAAAGCAGTCAAGATCTTGCCCCAATACCTTTAGTAGCTCATAAAAATAAGAGAAAGAGTGATAAGAAAAAAAAAGAAAGAAAAAAAAAAAGAACTTTTGTTCTTTTTTGTTTTGAAAGAAAAAGTGTCTATCATCAACTTCAACAAATCTCAATTGAAATAGTTTCCGGCATTTCTTTTACCAACTAAAATTGCTACAGCCAAATAAAGAAAGAAAGAAGGAAAAGAATGCGAGCAAACTGCGTCGAGGCAGAGCAATACACTACTTTCAAATGACCAAATGAGCAAACTCATAACGACAATTGGAAGTGATTAAAGCAATGGAGTAACAGTTCATACATTTACTAATAGAAATAAAACAGTCCATTTTCTTTCCTCTAATTGAAGTTGGGCAGTCAACTTCAAACGCGTTAATTTGCCTTTTCTTTAGGGACAATTCTATGGTCAAACTTCCGTCCTCAAGATGATACAAGAAGTGCAACATTAACAGCTAGGTTTCGACTGGGACTTGTTCTAAAAAAGTCGAGGCATTTCTTTGTAGAATTGTACAGAAAATCGTAAAACCCACCAAATTTAAGTAGATTAAAGATTAAAAGACAGGAAAAGGGACAAGAATGGTACAAGACAATACTTGCAAAGAGCAGAAGAAAAGGAAAATAAGCAAAACATATCTGTAGTTATAGTGAGTTAGATCAAGTAGAATTGTGTACCTGTTATGGATTGGATCAGGTCCATTTGGTACTCTTCTCTTGCTGACAGAATAAAAATCAGAATGCCAATGAAAGACATGCTTCCCTCTTCCAATCATCTTCCACTGCACGTCTGTCGCTCTTCTGGATGCTGGGCTAGCATTATCAATCACTCCAATAAAAGAAAACCAGATGACACCAAGAAAGAGAAAAGCTCCAAACAGAGACTTTAAGAACCTACAGTTACTCACCATCACACCTAAATCCTTTTCCTTATCTCACAGCTTCCAACCGACCAACAAGGTCATCATCCATTCAGAACAGAAACACAGAAATGCCTAAAATCAGCCATTTCAGGGTATGGAAGGGAAGAGGGATAGCTATGGACTAAGAAAGAGGAAAGAAGAGAGATGGAAAGCTAATTGGGTTGGCTGAGGTCTTGGCGGGTTGTAAGGCTGTTTTGTTTGTATTTATAGACTGTATCAGTATAACTGTACTTTGTGTTCGCGTGGGAAGAGAGAGAAGGAATCTGAATTAAACGCGGAAAAGTAGCTGTTCATGTCACTTTATATTGTGGAATAATGTGTCCAACAGCTCCTCTTCCATTGCCTTAGCTTCTACATTTTCCTATAGCTACAAAAGGGGAAATGGGGGCCCTAATATCTCATAAACTCTGATGAGCACTTAACAGTTAACAATATGCTTGTAAAAAAACGAGACATAGCCAAATCTTCACAACTAGACTATGAAGAAGCTAAGGTGTTAATCCCAATTAGTCCAAAAAATGCTGTATAATTATCAGAGAAATGATTGCTAACCTGAAGGAAATCGAGGCAGTCGATTTTGGATGTCTGGCACTTCATCAGCACCCACAAAAATGATGACGATTTTAAAACATTCCAAGGAAACCATTGCTATCAGAGAACAATGTAATAGGAAGAATACAATTTGTTTGCATGTGGTGCTGTCCAAAGCCTACTGTACACAATATGAAGCTTGATGGATACAGTCCTTGGCTCAAAGCAATAATTAAGGCAAAATCAAATCCGTTCGACTGAGAAGCTAGTATCAGCTAGGCACCAAAGTAAATTCATGCCCAAAAGAACCATTTCCCTTGTAATTTCATGAGTCAAGCAGCTCCGCATGTCTGATTAAGGTTTCTGATTACTCTAAATTGACAATGAATCATGTGAGAACGGGGCCCTTGCTTAGTACTCTTCGTCACATTCACGGATGAAGATTAGAGCTTTGCAATCCACAAGAGTTTACGAACGGAACTCCTTGGCCTCTATTCCCTGAGCTACTGAACCTATCCGTCTGTCTGTTTCATTGCTGCAAATCCATCAAAAGGGTCCTGGAAAAAATTCACTAGCATGTGGCAAACAGACAAGAAGAAAATATGATAAAAGAAATTACAGACAAAACCGTAATTGGATCCCAAAAAATGAAGAGCAAAACTAACAGCAAATGAAAACTCGAGGCCTATAAATGAATAGAGTTCTGGCATGTTCTCAAGTATCTTCTTTCTCTAGGCATGGCATATTGAGTGTTATATGTGCATTCATGTACACATATTTCGAACCCATTAAGTTATGACAAGAACATTCACAGTTAGAATTCTGTCCAAAATAAGCAGGTTGAGAAGGATTTGTCGATCCCAACAGCTTCCTACATCAATTCCCATTGTCTTTCCTCTATCATATCATACGTGAAATATCAGGCATAGTTTATCCACCATCCCTTCTAATTCTTCGCCTTCATAAGGCTGTACTTTTCCATGACGTCCGTTTCATTCAGCATGGCTTTTCTGTTAAACTGCAACCTGCAAGAGCCAAATAGATATGTCCTGCGCCTATTGACCAACAGTGGAGACTTAAAAATCAACCCCACGTGTAGGATTCCAATCTTCCTTGCTATGCGAAGGCAAAGAAAACCTAAGAACTTTTGCAAAATCAAATTAGATATGATAAGATTCCTATTGGTTGAGTAAAACAGAAGTTTGGAATAGATAAAGTAGCACAAGAATGACAAGGGTAAACTTGGAGATCAACAAGTCCATAAAATTCATGATTCTGAATAGGCATACTGGCACTTAAATGCTGGAATCAACCAAAGAAGTCGACGGTAATAGATATTTAGGTTCCAATACAATCTTCTACATGTCATACTTTCGCTTACTGTTGTAAAATATACTTGGCAACTGCTCAAGGACACTCATCAATTTAGACCCAAAAAAGCGGTACATTCTCTGCCTTCTTTTCTTTAAGCACATCATGAAGCTTGGATATAAATTCTAGAGCTGGACAATGGACAGGTGGCTGTAGATTACACATATCGGGAACCCTGTACTTGCAAGAGGCCAATAGAATCAAGAAAAGTAGTACCAAAATCTGGATACTTCAGTTCATAGTTACCAACAAAATGGAACGAAGGAAATACTTCAACGCATGCAGCTCTTCTAAGTTTTTTGATGAAAAAGCATGCAGCTCTTCTAAGTTGCTTTCCGACCACTTTGAGTTTAGGCTGTTAGCAAGAACAATGTCACCGGCTGATCTCACTCGGCAGTTTTAGCAACTTCATAAAGTAAACTTATTTTTTTCTTTTTTCCTTCTCAGCCCACTTGGGTCCATAAATCGCCAAGACTGTCCGACCAAACCGTCGCTTAGTAATCTGCAATTAGATACAATTATATTTTGTAACTCAAAAGGGAAAGACATTAAGAGTAAAAACCTAAATAATTCTCATCAAATGCAGATCCCATGTCCAGACATCATAAAATACAGCGAAAGAAACAGCAGAAATTTGTAAGATATCGTACCCTCGATCTGTTCTTGTATATATACTTTTCAAGTGTCTTGTTGAGAAATTACCCTTGGCGTTGGTTACAGACTGTACTTGACCCCCAATCACAAACAATATAATCTCCCAGGATCCATACCCATAGTTTCTCACTTTCCCTCAGGCTAGAGATATTGTATATTTATGTGAACAAATTTCAGCTGAAATACAGTTTTATCCTATTTAACGATTTTATTCATTCATAACATTAAGAATGTTAAATACCTGCACGATTAAATTACCTGAATAAGGCATCCACACGAATCCAGCATGTCAGTCTTCAATGGATATTCAACAACCTATCACTAAGATTTGTGAGAGAAAGGAAGGTAAACCATATGTAAATAAACATCTTAAATAGGAACAAGAAAATACAACTTACGATGAAGGTATCTTCTCCAACTAAGGCCGACTTCGATAGTTGCTCCATGACTACCCCATAATCAACTTGTATGTACGGTGGGGTAACACTAATGTAATCAAATGGTCTATCATTACCTAGACAAGACTAATGTAATCAATGATTGGGTAGTTTTGAAATCATAGATTATAGAAGCTTATACATTCAAATGAACTATACCATAAGAAATTGGTTCCAGTACCATTTATTCTTCTAATAAAAAGTAAAAAAAAGGAGAAATTTTGTTTGATTTTACTGATTATTCCTTCCAAGGTGAGACATGCATAGATCATTTTCATTTTCAGCTTCACTAAACTTCCTTAATTTGATGGCAAAGTTAATGCAAGTTTAATGACACCACAACAGATAAATTTCTTTAGGTGCTGCACATTTTGAGAGCAGTACGTGGATGATATCTCCTGCAATAGTGCATTCTAAGCCTCAATCAAGGTTTTATTTGCATATTAGAGTGCTGTAAAGAAGACTATTCAGGTACAACTCTTATGTATATAGAAGCTGTCAACCATTTATTTTTGTATATAAATATTTTGAAATCAAATAAAACTGATCCCCTTCAAACTTTGAATTTTGTTCAATTGTCGAGATGAATATCCCCTCCCACCCCTCTCCCCCTCCCGGCGAGTTATTGTTGCCGTCTAATCAGACACACCAGGTTTAAAGGAAAAAAACACTAAAATTATTGCATATTCAGCATTCTCATCAGATAAAACTACGAAGCATGCGGGCTTTAACTAGAATACATATGTTTCGCATGACTGATGTATTGAATACTTCACTTTCCGACTTAAGACATATTAAAAACTTGCTAGGCACTTAAACAAGAGTAACAATTATGTTCTCAAATACAATTCTCCTTTACTCTCCCTTAATCTCCCTTTTAATATATTAAATATGTCACGAATTAAAATAATTTTAACATGATAAACATAAGAAGCATAAAAATTTAATCAAATAATTTAAATAAAATAAAATAACTCACAATTTATATCATATAGAATTAATATAATTAACTTATAATGAGTTAGATGTTTAATTGGTTATAGTTAGGTGGTCTTTGAACATTTTAATCTGTCCATAAACTTCTAATTTTGTATCAATAGGGCTCTAACAAATTCATTCTTTTTTTTAAATTTAGTTGATCTATTAAATATAAAGTTTAATTTTATCTCTAATGGAACCTTAAACTTTCAATTTTGTGTCTAGTAGCTACGTAAATTTGAAAAAATTCAAAAGTTCAAAAACTAAATTTATAATTTTAAAAGTTCAAGGACTAGATAAACACAAGTCAAGGTCAACACTATATATGTAATTTAACCTATAAAATATCAATATATAGAATATACGTCTAATTCAATCATTATATCTAAATCAAAACAATTTAATCATAGTTTACTAAGCACCTAATTTGTTTTATCATGTTTAAAATTGATATTTAACAAACACTAAATTACTTCATGTTACACTTGATTTTGTCTCCCAATTGCCGACAATTATTTTAAAAGCTACAACAATCCCAAACTAACCCTTAGTTTGTTAGAAACAACGTACCCCCACGTCCATGTTTATGTCCATACTTCTTAGGATGAAACAAACAAGGAGAAAGCTAAAGTTTAGATGGGATACCAATAAGCTGCTCAGCTCGTTCTATAAAATTCTCAACTGGAATTGTGTGAATGACTGAATCATCAAAAAACCCAGTAGATTCCAGATTCGGCCTTAAAACGTCAGAGACAACCCATGGATCCATCTCAACAAAATGCACCTGGACGTTGAAGGAGAAAAAAAGAGAGATGTAGAGAAATGAATATTATGACATTGATAGTTTTGTCTATTAAGCCAATCCCTATCTAAACATGGTTCGAAAGCTGGCTTTATCAGTTGGTTATTTCTAAAAATTGTGGAGAAAGTTATCCCGAAGTAAATTCTCATTTTGTCTGGTACCTCAGAACATCCACGGCTCATAGCTTCAATACCAACTGATCCGGTACCACTATACAAGTCTAACCAACGACCAGGCCTTAAAGATGCTGGACAGCCACCAGCAGCCTACATTATCAAATTACATTAGATCTTTTCTTTGTGTCGATGGCTAGCAGCAACTTACCCAAGCAACTTGACCTAGAAATATACGAACTCTGAATCATTTGATAAGTTAGCAGAATGATCTGGTCACGTGAAAGAAACTAGTATTTAAAATACAACACCAACCTGCAAGATATCAAAAGCTGCACCTTTCACAACTTCCATCATTGGTCGTACATCCAAGCCTATTGGTGAGAGTAGCCTCATTCTCCGAGCACTTCCCCCAAGCACCTGAGGTAGCCAACATATTGATTGAGTTGTTTCTGATAGAAAATCAAGGAACCTTATGTACGTACTTCCCATACATCAGTGGTACACGTGCTGTGTAGGCATTGGAGGATCCATGGGGATCATCAACGTGATAAATTTTAGCAACGGACGTAATGATCTTTCAGACTAAAATTAGTATTTTAGTTTTCAATGTGACAAATTGACCTATTGAAAATGAATAACTTGGTGTAGATGTGACTGGAATAAATCCAAATGAAATTCCATCAACTTACAGATTTAAACTAATATTATAGATTTCAATTTGTGTAAATTGATAGTTAAGAGGGAATGCCTTTAATCCAAATAGAGCATTTGTTCATATCCACCCTGGTACGAAAAGTTATAATACCAAAAGACCTCAAATATCAAATTACAAAAGCATTTCTCTCCCCTTTCACTTCATTTCGAAATTTTGAAGGAGAAATCTCTATGGAAGAAAGAGATATCCCCTCTGAAGGATGTCTTCCCCACTTTGGAAGATATAAAGTGAAAATTAGCGCCAAGTTAGGCCAGCGAATGATTGTCACTTCTAAGGGTAGACTGAGTTGAATTATCTCAGCACAAAGAACCAAACAAAATGGAAAAAGGAACACAACTCGTACCTTAAGTAACTTATGGGTCTTCCGTTGAAATTTAGGATCCTGGCCTGAAATCTGCTTGTCTTTTCCCGATTTTCGCATTTCTCGTGCTCGCTGTAAGGAAAATTAACGATTACAAAGAAGAAAATTGCAAACACTCATTTCCGAAGCCAATATAGTGCAATTGCACAATTCCGCCAGAAAATAATAATACAATGTCAGACACTAATCTCCAAAATATTCATGCTTGAAAAGAAATGAAAGAGATCAACCATCAGAGAGAGAGGGAGAACTAACATTAGCAGAAGGTTCAGACAAAAACTCGTCAGGATCAAGTCCATACTGCTCCAATAACTTCTTCCTCCGCTCACTAACGGAATTCTCAGATTCTGAAACCAACATACAATTGAAAGTTCAATTACAGAAAAATAAAGGATACAACAAAATCGTTTTTCCATTTCTACAACAATTCACAACAAGAACTCACTGTACGAGCAAACGATAGTAGAAGACGACGGATGAGTGCTCGGTCTAGAACAGATATTGACGAGTGGAATATTCAGCGAAAACAAGCTACAATCTCGGTCTAGAACAGAGATGTTAGAACGGGCACCTAATGAAGAAAGAACCGGGAACGAAGAAACCGCCATCAACGAAGCTCTGCGCTAAACTTCGGATAGCTCTATAAAATTAAGATGGAAAATACCCATCGAATCTTTCTAAAACAAATGGGCCTGCCCAAAGACATGGGCTCGAAGTTTGGGCCAACCCAACAAGTTAAATCCGGGCCATTACCACTGGTTCAATTAAGAGGGAAAATATCCATCGAATCTTTCTAAGGCAAATGGGCCTGGCCCAAAAACATGGGTTCGAAGTTTTGGACAGCCCAACAAGTTAAATCCGGACCATTACCACTGGTTCAATTAAGAGGGAAAATATCCATTGAATCTTTCTTTTAAAATGGGCCTGGCCCAAAAATATGGGCTCGATGTTTTTGACAGCCCAACAAGTTAAATCCGGCCCATTACTACTGGTTCCTCGAGCGGGAAGAATCCAAAAGAGAGCCGCAAAACTAATCACAAAAATGTTTAGCAAAAATAGGTAAATCAAACGTGATTATGGTTATGATTATAATTAATTAATCCTTAAGTTCATTAGTAATTATGTCAACTAATTTTATTAGAAAAAAACAAGGCAGCATTCAAAGTTTAATAGAAAAGGATTATAATTAGAAGTAGAGTATTAAATAAACAGTTAAAAGAAAATGAAAAACCACGTGTTCAAACAAATCCCGGTGAGGATATGATGACACGTGGCGTAGATTTTACTTAGGGTTTGAGCAAATGTGGACCGTCGGATGAAAGGCCGTGTGGGACCCAAGGAAGAGTAATGCAACCGTGAATGTGACTACTAATAATTGTGAACGAGTAAAGCGCTGGATTGGATTGCGTGTGCGATTCGTCGACATCGCTGAGCTCCGCTTCTGATTACGAATCCACACTAAACTCTGAAACTCATACCACCTGCATTGCGATTCTCTCAAGTTTCTCTGTCCGATCTGTGGATCTCAGCTCAGCGACGGGGAGGAGGAACCCGCCGACAACCGGAAAATGGGACTCTGCGGCTCGAAGCCGAAGGGTTGCGTCCGAGGAAGACTGGTTCCGTCGGGGAAGAGGAATCGGAGGCGGAGAAGAAGAAGTATCAAGCGGCGAATTTCCTCCCTGAAGCTTGATTCTCTTTCTACACCTAGTCGCCCTCATTCTACTCCTACATGTGCAGGTTTTTACATGCACTTTCCCTTTTCTCTAATCTTTTTTTTTTTTTTTTTTTTTTTTTTTTTTTTTTTTTTTTTTTTTTTTTC